GATCAGTCACCTACCATCCTTGCTGAGAAGGTCCAATCTAATCATCTTTCTAACATCGCAGTTTCACATGAAGAACACCTTACTACAAGTACAGATCCAAATGTGTTGATACCATTTATTATTATTAAAGAAGACCCACTTACATGCCAAGACACACGAGAGTGTTCTTTCGACTCGATAAAAGATCAGCTGGTACAACAAGTAGTTGCTTCTAATGTTCAACAACCTACACATATCCTGCACACTTCAGACCATTATGTTGATCATGTGAGTCAATCTTCGGATGAGGAATGGCTGGTCTACACGAGGAGAAAGAAAAAAACGGAGGACGACTCGAGTTAGGGAATTTATTGGATGATACATTGGTTACTACCGGCAATGGCACTCATCTGACCAATTTATTAGGTGGTTCCTTCCCTATAACAAGAGGCAGAGGCAAGGCAAAATCAGGCCGCTCTCTAGCTACCTGATACTCTTATTTTGACACCTTTTAGTTTTTTATTTAGAACTCTTATGTTTTTTGTTGTATTTTTTCTTTTTTGGGACCATTTGATTTGGTGATTTTTGTGTGGATTGGGTGTCATATTTGGGACGTTCCTTCCCTATAACAAGAGGCAGAGGCAAGGCAAAATCAGGCCGCTCTCTAGCTACCTGATACTCTTATTTTGACACCTTTTAGTTTTTTATTTAGTACCCTACTTTTTATTTAATATATTAGTCATTGGGCTTTCAATACACACAGATATATGGGGGTTTGAGGGGGCGTGTGGCCTTAAAAAAAGTATTTTTTTATATCTTCTAAATATTTTTAAAGGAAAATTTTGGCAAAAGTTTTCTAATCTAAATGCTAATAAAAATGTAATAACCTGTTAATTAAAAAATTATAAAAAAATGAAAATGAAAGGAACAATTCGTTACGACACTTGTTTCATATATGTCATTTCACAGACAACGTTCGAAAGGGAAGCTACCTGTCACGGACTAACTTTTTTCTAGAAACCCGTGAGGCTCTAACATTCTCCTTTAGCACTAAATCAGTCTAATCCTTACAACGTTTGGACTTGTAAGCACAATGCACTCTTAAGAAGAAGAGTAGAGAGAAAGGAACCCTTCACACTAGAATACTTAGAAGCTTGGATTGAATGCTTAGATGATTACAAATGAAGGGAGGGACATCTATTTATAGTCCCCCTCCAAGCCATGAGAATATTCTAGAATTCCCTACTTTGTGGAGTATTCCATACAATTCTTACATAAATACATAATCCTAGATTCATCTAGGTTCTTCTTAAACTCTCCATACTCCATCCATGAGTTCTTCATTGAGTATTGACTTCCTCTGACCTCTAGAGTTGGATAGAAGTTTCTAGAGTTGTGCGAAACTTTTCTCATCCACCTTCTTGGCTCTAGAAGGTTATTGTCATGCATGCCTCTTCTAGAGTTTTCCTTCTCATGCTTGTCTTGCCATTTCCTTGAAAATGGGATGGCGTGACACTCTCCCCCACTTAAACTAGCAATGCCCTCATTGCAGCTTCCCCTGCACCTTCGAAACTGCCTCCTTGGTTTGCCCCCAGACTTAGCAAAATTTGGTTTCTCCATAGTGTTATGGGAGAGGGGTGTCATGCAACAAGTCTTCCTGGCTAGCAGCTTATCCCTTGCCTCCAACCTTGTTGAACAATCTTTCTTCTTTCTTGGCGGTGGTTTATTAGGAACCTCCACTACCTTCCTTGGCATCCCAACACCTTAGGTTTTTTCTCCTTCATTGATATCATGAAGGGTAGCCTAGTCCTCCCCCTTGTCCTGAGCAATACCATCCTCGAGTTGGATCGCCAATAGCGCTTTAGATCCTTGTTTGCTTAACCTTCTTATTGGTATTTAGCAAGCTTGACTACTCCCTTCCGTGATGAACATGCTATTGGCGAATGGCATTGGAAATGCTCTTGCTTGCTCCAAAAAGTTCATTCCTAGGATAACTTTGTAATCATCCAAAGGAATGATGGAGAAGTCTACCTGACCATGCCCCAATGTTGGTCTTGACTCCCTTAGCCATTCCATCGATTGGCATCTCTGTTAAATGGACGACTTTAATGGAGCCCCCTCCTTTATTCATCTACAACTCCAACCTTTTTGTTTCCTCGCTGGAGATGAAGTTGTGGAAAGCACACGTATCCACTGGTTGTATTCCCTCCTATTGTCATCTCCACAAAGAGTAACCCCTTCCCTTAGGGTTTTGTCGGAACTTACATCTCGTTCAGCAGTTGAAGAGATCTCACATGTGCCTCCATGTCATTTTGTCTATCACTTTCTTCTTCCTCCTTATGGCTTGCAAGGAGAGAGTTGAGGGCCTTCTTTTAAGGGTAACCCCTTGCTCAATGAGGTCCTTCACAAAGAAAGCGGCAGTTTTGATATGACTTGTTGTTAGTCTTCCCCTTCTCCCTTGCCTTTGTTGGGGTTGATTCGCGATGTTTCTCCTCCTTGTGTTTGTCCTTGTCATCCCCACCTTTGACATCACAACCTTTTTTATCTTCAGGCTTTCTAAACTCCTTTGAATAATCAACCAAGCTCGCGATGGCAGTGGTAAGATCTTGCACTCCTCCCCTCCTAAGCTCGGTCTTTGCCCAATGTTAGAGCTCATCCATGAAGTTGAACAAAGCATCCTTGTCTGACATATCAGGGATTTCAAGGACCAAGCTTGTAAACTCCCTAATGTACTCCCGAATCGATCCCTCTTGCTTGAGTCACCGTCATCGGGTTCTAGCCTCATTCGGCATTCTCGGGGTAGAATTGCCTCTTTAGCTCTCTCTTTAAGTCATTGAGAGTGGACATAGAGCACAAATCTTTCTTCACATCTCATTTTCTTCTTCTCCACCAAAGCATAGCGATGTCCGAGAGATAAAGAGAGGCAAATTGTATTTTTGCATCTTCATCAGCAATCTTCATCGCTCCAAAGTATTGTTCTAGTCCTCATAGGAAGTTGTCTACTTCATCGCGTTGTGAATCCCTCCAAAACTTATAGGTTTTGGAACTTCAATACTCTTGGCTACGAAAGCGGGATGGTTTGTGGATGCCGCTAGTGCCCACTTGCACAGCGAAATGTCACAACGCATCTCCTCCGAGCTAGCTAGCACGTCACTCATCTCCTCCTCATAGGCTCTTCGCATCTCTTGGAGCTTCCCCAGCAAATACTCCTGCATCTTAGCCAAATGGCCCATTAAGTTCTCCTCAAGTTGGAGCATCATGCCTCTGATCGTTGAATGGATTGTGACGCCTTCCTCCTCGAGTTCATAAACCCTTTGGCCAAGATGCTCTACTTGGCCCTCCATTCAAGCAAGGCGCGAATCAAAGTCATGCATGATCTCCTTGGACCTCCCATGTGGCTTGGGTGCAACGGGATCTCTTTGATATTTTTTGTCATTCCTTCGAACCAAGGCTCTGAAACCAGCTGTCACGGACTAACAATTCTCTAGTCACCCGTGCGGCTTTAGCGCTCTCCTTTAGCACTAAATCTGTCTAAACCTCACAACGCTTGGACTTGTGAGCACAATGCATTCTTAAGAAGAAGAGTAGAGAGAAAGAAACACTCCACACTTGAATACTAGGAAGATTTGATTGAATGCTTAGATGATCACAAATGAGAGAAGGAACCTCTATTTATAGTCCCCTTCCAAGCCATGAGAATATTCCAGAATTCCCTACTTTCTAAAGTATTTCATACAATTCATACATAAATACATAATCCTAGATTCTTCTAGGTTCTTCTTGAACTCTCCATGCTCCATTCTTGAGTTCTTCATCGAGTATTGCCTTCCTCTGACCTCTAGAGTTGGGTAGAAATTTCTAGATTTGTGTGGAACTTTTCTCATCCACCTTCTTGGCTCTAGAAGGTTCTTGTTATGCATGCCTCTTCTAGAGTTTTCCTTTGCATACTTGTCTTGTCATTTCCTTGAAAATGGCGGGGCGTGACATATCGCTAGTGAGAGACTCAAATTTCGGCTTTTCCCTCATCCCCTCTCATTCAAGCACATACCACACACACGACACAGAGGGAGCAAGAGTCGTGAGAGGGACAGAGGGAGTGAGGCAGAAGAGAAAGGAGGGGAAGAAGGAGGGGGAGGAGGAGACGAGCGGCTCACCTAATGCGTCATTTCCTGTCATTCTCACGATCGAACTAGCGTGACAGACGCTCTAGCAACTCTATCAAGTGTTGCGAGCAGCCTTAGAAAGGAAAAAAACCGAAGATGTGTGTGGCTTTTCCTTACCGTGCAAAGCCTTCCATGATCGACGGAACAGGAGAGCTAATCCTGTGTCGTAACCATGGAAGGAAGAGGAAGATATCGTGTGGTTTGTAGGAAAATTCAACTAAGCCTCTGTTGCTCAATTCGAATAGCTTAGGGTTCAGGCAGAGGTTTAAAAAAAGGTAGAATATTGATTTAATTTAAGTTATTAATTGTAATTGATAAAGATTAAATTTCAGAATGCCTGCAATGACAATAAATTAAAATTATGGAAAGACGGAAGATCATGGTTCACCGCATCCCTCCTTGTTCTTATGGGAGCTTTCTGAGTGACAACGCATTGGGTGGATAGCAGGTTTCAAATCTAGCTCATTATACGGGACTGTGATAAAAAAAAATAATTTACCATCCTCTCCTATTTTCATCCAAAAGGTAGGTGTGCCAGCTATGCTTGTAATCCATGATGTATTTATTTTGTGCTATGTATTTATTCCGCAGATTATTCTTATTAAATGTTATTGTTATACTCCTATTATTAGCTTGTCATAAAATTGCATTAAAAAAATAGTCAGAGTGTATGATACATGCGGAAATGCAGATTGTGTCAGTGCAGATGCCATACCATGGTTCATTTCATTAACTTCTGCAAAAGTACTTCTGAAAGAAAGATACAAATTTTCCTTGAATATATATACGAGAAGTAACTACACGCATCATGATAAAATAAAGATTAAGTAAAAAAAAGAGGCAAGTTAAATAACATACCATTGGACCTCTCCACACAATTGGAGCATCCTTCTCAACAAGAAACCCAATGGACATACACTTTACGCCATAGTTTTCCATAGGAATCATCTTCATCTCTGAAACATAGAAGTCAATCATTATTCTATACACATATCTCACCAAAGTAAACGTAGAAGGAACAGATGAAAACTATGACCCTTAAAAGTGTGCTTGTTGCATTAATATTTAAAAGCAAAAAAGGAGGATAAATCTCCGGTTCATGTACTCAATACAAAGTTCTCTAATAAAATATTAGTGCATATACCCAAAATGAGACTAAGTGACAAAACTGCTCCATCATCTAACTGAACTGCTCCATGAAGTCCCTTAGTGGCGCTCTACAAGAAGGGACGCCCTACTCCAACTCAAGGAATAGATGGAAACTAAAACAAGTAGTGCAAATAATGGCTCGATAAGAAAAATTCTAAGAAAAAAAGTCCAAGTATTAATTATAACTTGATGCAAAATATAAAACTATATGTAACACCGAATTTCACTAGGAAAAAAACAACCACAAAAATTTAAGAAGAATCTCTGGAGCAAACGAAAGAAAATTATCTAATGCAATAAAAATTTAGTGGTTTCACCTTGTCGTTGACTCTAGAACTCTGCAAAGTGAGAAATAAAATCCCAACTTCTTTCTGTCATTGCCGTAATCAGCACTTCTTTGCTCACCACAGACACCATAGACTCTAAGAGCCACTCTTCTCCGATTCCTGCTCTCCTCTTATATTCTCCGTATGAAAAAGAAAAACCTTAGTAGTGTGTAGAGCTGTCACAAAAGCTCGTCATTTGTGAACTAACTGGCTTTTAACTCGTTAAAAAGCTCGTGTTAGATTTATTCATTAGCATGAATAAATAATTTCAGCTCAATTTATAAATGAGTTGAATACTAATAGAGCTTTGTTTCATTATATTCGGCTTATTTTAGCTCAAATTAATTAAATAATTAACATTTAATACAACCTTTATATTAAATTATTCAAGTTTTATTTTAAAAAATGTTAAAATTTAATATTTTTTAATCATACAAACAAAATTTGAGCCAAACAAGAATGGCAAATAAATAACAAAATTCGAAATGAAATGAGCACAAACATGTAAGCAAACTTCACACAAATCAATTTTTGAGCAAACCAAAAACAAACAAACAATGGGCTCGCTCAAGCTCAGCATTTTTACACCACCAATAGGGTGTATTTTGCATCTTTTTCTATCTAATTTTTTTCTTGAAATGTGGTTATTGGACTCAATCTATGTGTAATATGATGAATTTATAACAATCTCTTAACTTCTCTGGCACTAGTGACAACGTTAGACATCTATCATCTTTCAGATTGCTGAAGTTAGTTGTCGCTCCCAGCAAGTGCATTTTGAATCTCTTTTTATTAAATCTAGATTTACTATAAAGATTTATGATCTTTATTTTGGCAGGTATGACTGCTGGCCTAATTGAGTGGGTTTGTGGAATTGTTGTTTTTAAATGCAGGTTTTTTGTAAATATTTTTTTGTTACCGGAGGAGAAAGCCCAAACCATAAAATGAAGGTTACAACACACACAAACTGGAAATAACATCACCAAAACACAAAACGACACAAACGGACACATCGAGTGTATCCCAAGGGCGGTGGAAATTGGTTGGAAGGTGGGATAGCAAACCGGGAAGGTAGGACAGCAGTTGGGAGTAGCGGGACAGCAAGCTGGGATGGCAAAAAGTAGAAGACAGCGGCCTGCTGGCTGCAGAAGAGAGCTGGACAGAGGACTGCAGCAGGGAGAAGTTTGAGGTGGTTTGGCAGGCTGGGAAGCAGTCGACGGTTGTTGGCAAAGGGCAGGAGTGGCGGCGGCCTGCTGTAGGGTTGGGAGGTGGGTTGGTAGCAGCAGGAAAGTAGATGACAGCGGCCTGCTAGATGCAGGAGGGGACTGGACAGCGGTCTGCAAGGGAGCGGCGAGGATGGACGGACGGAGAAATATCTCGGTGGGATCGAGATACAGCAGGAGCACCACTCGAACCCTTGGAGACAATCACCACCTCAGACGAGTGAGAGTTGGAGCATTTCCTCGACGATAGATATAGCCCTTTAAGGGAAAAACTCTAGAATAAAACCTGAATTCAGATATCAAAACCAGGACATCTAACTCCAGGCACATCTCTCCTATTTATAAAGAGACTAGATCCAATTAAGAAACACTAAAATAGAATGGAGAATACATTCAGATTTCAGATTTGAGGAAGGGATTTAAATTAGGAAGGAGAATAAAAATTAGATCTCAATTTTTAGGAAAGGTTTTAAATTAAGAAGGAGAATGAAAATCAAATTTCAGTTTTTAGAAAAGGTTTTAAATTAAGAATGAGAATAAAAATCAGATTTCAGCTTTAGAAATGGTTTTAAATTAGAGAAGGCTTGGGAAGGAAAGTAGGAAAAGAAAGAAAGGAAAGAAAAATGAAAGAAAAATGAATGAAGGGAAAAAGAAATGGAGGGAAGAGGAAGGAGGGAGCGGCAATCCTCCATCCTTGAGGGCCGGCCGGTCCTCCCCCAAGCCCCGCATCATTTTTCCTTGTACAATGCTTAATTATTAATCATGAAACAAGTTTCCTGCTCCAGAGATATAATATGAAATTATAAGATACATCTATTTTAAAAGTTTTGGTCAATTTACATTATGCAAGATAATTCTGCTTGCTAAAAAGGATCAGCAGTATTGCAATATTTAATATGTTTAGTTTGGTATATATAGTCTTTCCATAGTCCTAATTTGATTAAATTTAGTTCAATTTGCTTCAATATATGCAGTTTACATGCTGTTTTGATTCAAATTTTTGGTGTTCATAACTTTTTTATTTCGGGCAATCCAATTTCTTATCATCTTTAGTTCTTCATGTAAGGCGTCATTAACCTGAATAAAATAATTTCCCATAGATGCAACGTCCACCTATTCACAACAAAAATCTGGGAGCACTGCAAATTTGCCTCCAGCAGGCAATACACATACACCGATTGAAAGCATTGGAGAAGTTACTTTCACAAAGGTAAAAAAATATACGTCAGAAGTTTGGCAGTATTTTAATCAAATTTCTTTGGTATAAAAAAGAAAAACTATTGAGAATCATTATGCTGAGCCATATGTAAAACAAAAACTAGCATAATATATCAGATAAGTAGACATTTAAAGCTAAAGTTCCAATGTAGGAAAGAATAAGAGAAAGAAATAGAAATTTGTGATTTAATTACTAGGTGTCATGGAGCGTAATATATTAGGAAACTTGTATATTAAAAACTTTGATTATAGGGAACCTAATTAGAGAAGATCTAATTACGAGATACTTCCTCTATTAGAGATACTCCTAATCAATAGAGATTGGAAGTGTGTACATATATGTAACATGTGTCTTTATTAATAAGAAGAAAGAAGGAAGAGTTTGTAGTTACATGATATCAGAGTCCTTTGTCGAATCGTTTGTCTGTGCCTTCATCTGCATCCTGCGACGTTGTCATCTCCTTCAAGCTTCATTTGCTTCCTACGAAGTGATGTCAGCGTCCTGCGACGTCATCGTCGACATCTTCGCCTATTTAGGTCAACGTCTTCAACTGTACCTTCATCTGCGTCCTATGACGACGTCGTCTGCTTTGTGTGAGTACGTCGACGACTTCAACTGCTTCATACGAAGGCATCATCTGCTTTCTTGGAGTCTTTCTCTGCTTCAAATGGTGTCATCTGCATCGAATTCGCCTTCGATTTTGTCTCCATCAGCTTCGCCCGCCCTATCTGTGTCGACAAGATTAGGGCATTGAGGAAGGCATGTGATCTGCTCAGCCTGCGTAATCGATTTTTGTGCTCTGCTCGGTCTGCGTCGATTTCTTTGGATCGTCGGGCTCAATTTTTTTCATTAATTTGGAGATGTTGAATAGTGGGTTGGGGAGTTATTTGTGTCGAAAGCTTTCTCAGTCCATCCTTCAGTACTTAATGGCATAGATTATGGCTGATGAACACAAATATCTTGTAATAGTTTTGATTTCATCAGTAACTAAAATTACAGATGAAAAGTTAAATAACAGCAATTATTTTTACTGAAATAAAACTACGAGACTCTAATTAAAGAGTATTTCTCAAGAGATTCACCTCCTTAATAATCCTTCAGCCGCGACTGAGTCGAATTTTTCTGAGTGGGTGCTCAGCTTTTGATACAAATACAGAATTCTATCGAACATGATCGATCTGACCATATTATCAATGCGACTATGTTAAAGATGTAATGGAGGAATTGGTGTTTGTGTTTTCTAGGAGAGAAAATATTTCTCGAATATTTGATGTACGTAAAGAATTTTGTCATGATAAACAAGAAGATCAGTCACTTAACATGCATCACATGCACTTTAAACATGTGCATGACAAATTGAACGCAATATTTCCCTTTAGTACCAATGCCTGCATTCAACAGGCTTAAAGAGAACAAAAGGATATCATGTATTTTCTAGATGGCCTCAACTCTCAGTATTAAGGTGTTAAATCACATATCTTATCAGACCCTAGATGTATTATTCTGAGGTAAGCTTATATTAGAGTACTGCGTACCATCCCGAGTTCTCAGGCCTCATCCGTACAACCTAGTGCTCTTGTTGATCAAAAATATATAGACATCAGTGAACCTCGATCTCAGGACAATTACAATAGTGGAACTCCAAATTCTGAAAATCAAAGGTCGAAGGTAGGATGTTATTACCGTTATGAACATGTTCATAAGAACAGAACATAACAGAAGTTGTTCAAAAAGAACCAAAAGGGTTCTAAATCATAGACAACTCACATTGTCACTATCACTAAGGCCTCTCTGTGTCAAACTCACTAGATGTCTATATATGAATATGCCAAGTACATCAAATTTAGGAAGCATCCAAGAAATCCCCATCTATCACTGCCCTTGTTGAGTTATGTAACAATGATACTTATCTCCTTTCATCTTCCATGCAATGGGTAATTAATTTTGGTGCTACAGTATTGGGACAAAGCTCAAGCGGAACATGATGCCTCTACTACATCAGGAAAGTTTTAGATGGTAGATGTTTGCACTAAAAGTCA